TGCCCCCCCCCCGCCCCCCCCCCCCCCCAGCTCCGGCCCTTTAAGTAAAAAAAAACCACAAACAAACCCCAAGAAACCCCAAACTCACCAGTTCCTTCCCGGTGGGGGGCAATCCCTGCTGCTTTCCACTGCCCCACACCACGTGGGGGGGCTCTTCCATGAGCCCCCTGAAGCTCTGAGGGCACTGCAGGAGCTCACGAGTTCGGGGTTTTTTTTCATTTGTTTTCTTTTCTCTTAAAGAGCCGGAGCTGGGGCGGGTCGGAGGGATTGTGCAGAGCCCCCCATGCAGTGTGAGGCAGTGGGGGGCAGCAGGGATTCCCCCCCACCCAGCAGCACCCCATGAGTGGAGCTTTTATTAAAGCCCCGGGAGCTGGGGTGGGTGGGGCAGCCATGGAGGAGCTATGGGCCCTCCCCTGCCCCCTACTTACCAGCTCCGAGTCCAGCTCCAGCTCCCTGCTGCAGCAGGCAGGGGCTGCCTGAATCATCAAAGGTCTCCGAATCTTTTACGAACTTTTGGAGAGCTTCAAATCGATTTGGACCTTTTTATTGGTCCCCTGATTCAGTTTGGATTTGGAGATTCGGCCACCAAATTGGGCCAAATCTCCTCCGAATCGAATCAGCACCCAAAGCTTCGCACAGCCCTAGTAAATGTTTCTTTCAGGACCTTTCTTGAACAGAGGGCTGTTCTGAAGAAAACCTCTATGGGTATCTGCAAATACAGGAAATTGCCAATTCTAAGGCAGGAAAATAATCCACCACTTAACTAGCTAAAGAAGCCATAATTTCCAAAGATGACCTCGACAATAACTGTCTGAAATACTGCACATACAATTAAATGAGTGAAAAATTCTACAATTATACATGCAAATCAGGCATTTACACACCTCTGTACCCAATTTTCACATGCAAGCATAACATTTAAAAACAGCATCTGGGGTGTGGCACAATATTCCTTGAAAGTGTGGCCCTATATGTAAAAATATTGTTGATTTTCAACTAATACTGAGTGTGTGATTTTGGAAGAGGAATTCTACAAAATATAATAAACAAAAAATATGTGCCTAAGCAATGGTAAGTCATTAATGTGCCTCTTTGGTTACTGCACAAACTAATATAAATACATTTTTTCTTCTTTACATCATCTGTTAACTCAACAGTTCATGAATATTCCCTAATAGTTTTTAGTTTGAGGTCATAAGCAATCACATACAGAAAAAACAATTTTTGGGTGTAATATATTTGACTAGTTTCTGTGTACACAGGAGAGCCAGAGAGAAATAAGGCGTGCCCTTATTGTATGGACCTTTTTCTATCCCATATGAGAAACTGTCCCAAATACCTTGCATGGCTAACTTTGATATTAGTGCATTCTTCCCAGATATGAGTACATCAAAATTTTAATAAGAACTTCCCCTGCCCCCACCTCCCATAAAAAAATACATGCCAGCCGTATGACAAAAAACACCAGCCATTTGAGTAAAAAAACCCACTTTCTTATTAAACAATCAATTTGCGCTATTCTCCTCCACACAGAGAAATCCATCCAATTTCTTTTCTCTCTAACCTCTCAAAAATGCATTCTTTCCATACTATTTGTCTCCACCCATCACACTTTCAATGCACCCCTTTTCCTTGCAACCCACCATGTTTTCTCTTCAGGGTTCCTTCACAGAAAGGTTCCTTACAGGAATAATGAATAGTAACAGGAGCATGCACTTCAAGTCTCAGCTGTCAGCAACAATAGCAGGTAAACTCTTCTGAAAGCCCTTACTGTGCATTGGTCGGCCATAAAAAGGGCATCTTCTGTAGCAGAAGAGTGGATATTGGATCCCATTTGATTCCTGAAATCAAATTCCCTAACTGCAAGGTATTCCTCATCTAGTTGCCAGAGGGCTCACCTGGGGAAGCAGGTTTCTTGGAGCAGTGACGGAAGGTCAAGAAAAAGAGAACAGGGTATCTGTATCCTTGACAGTACTGTCTGTTTCAATTTCAGGCAGGCAAGCCAATGGCAGAAAGGGAGAAGAGCTGCAGAAGACAAGGCTGCAACTCGGTCCAGCAGCAGCTTGGCTTTTGTATCCTCTCTTCCTTCTAAAAAGGCATTTGGAATTTAAGGTACGTGCCCCATACACATCTAGTGGTATGTGTGAGTGATATGGGAGGGAAGTTTCTCTTTCAGAAGCTGTTGTGGCAGCACCTGGCGTACCTACATCATGGTAATTACTGGAGAGGGCAGCAGTGAACTTGGTCTCATCCTCTGAGAAGGCTGAATATTTTTAGCAAGCATTCCAAGGCTTCTAATTTTTAGGTGGGTCTGTAAAACAATTCTGTCTAACGTCTCCCACTCCAAAAATGTAATTATTCTGAATGCCATAAATGCCAGTATGCAGAAGGCTGTGCTCTGCTTTTGTAGCAAGGTGCTGGAAAAGACCAAAGTGTATTTTCTCACTCTTACATGAAATCAGTTAGGCACATTTGGCAGGTACCTCCTGGAATCATGACTCAGCATTCTTTTAACCAGTTTTACAAACCAGGAGTAACTCCAGTGAAGCCAATGATGTAAAGGTAGCTTATTAAGAGATAAGAGCACTCGACCCTGTCTTGGTGGCATCCCTAACATGATTAGTTACCTGCCAGATGTGCCTAACTGATTTCATGTAAGAGTGAGAAAAATACACTTTGGTCTTTTCCAGCACCAGGCTTTTCCCAGCTAGCTGCTCAAGGGGTGGGAGTGTTGCCAGACCCTGCATCTGTTGATACTGAGCTTTTCAATCTCTGTCTCCTTGCTTCTTCAGACTGTCTGGAAACCAAGTGATTTCTAACACCTTTTGCTGTCCCTTCTTGAAGACTGACAGGCTGCAGTCAGTTTATCAGCCCATCAAGCCTTCATTAGTTTCAAGCTCTTCTTATCTGCAGGGTGCATTTTCATTTGCAAGCCACTAGCTGTCTGCCCCTTTGTTCCAGTGAAATTGAAGACCCACACAGACACCTCTCAGCATTAGCTGGCATGGGAGGGGGCATGACCAGATGCCATGTCTCTCTGCTGGGGTCCCTCCTGTGGGAGAGGGGCAGGAGGAGGGATCCCTGCTTGAGCAGCCAGGGGGGCGGGGAAGGAGAAGCCTGGCAGCTGCTGCAGTCCCTCAGCCAGCCGGAGCAGTGATAGTGCTCTGGCTAGGAAACAGAGGGGCGCGGACAACCCCACTGTGCTCCAGCAAACAGCCCTGCCCAGCCCAGAGAGCACGCCTGGATGCTGCGGGACTCTGGTTTAACTTAAACCAGGAAGGGGTCTGGGACAGACATTGCATACACTGGTTTGACCCAAATCAGTTAAGTCTGATACTACATTCAACCAGGTTTATCTCAAACCAGTTTCAGCTATTTCAAACTGGTTTATGTGCACTAAACATCTGTTCTGTTACAGGTTTAAACCAGTTTCTGATCACTGAAACTGGTTTGTGTGTAATGTCTATCCCTAGCTTAAATAAGAAACATAGTTACATACAAACTACTGACGATTTCCCATTGTCAGTGTTCAATAATATATATGTAGAGTTTTCAGTATATTGTTTTCCTTTTAAATATTTTGACTCAAACTTGTCTAGAAATTCTGCTTTAATTAAGGAAATAAAACTTGGGGGGGAAGGGAGGTATTTTTCATTACTTTCCACACAGAACTATAACACAGAACACATTAAGAAGTCAGTCAGAAATGCAGAATATAAATTATTCCAAGGGGTACTTCCTCCTCTTGTATTATTCATGACATTTTTTTTTTCTTCCCACAGGGAAGTTCTATGATGACAGAAACAGCTGGCAGGAGGAGATGGGAATAACTATAAAGAAGCAATTTGTAAGTATCAGGTTAAATATTTTTGCTTAAACACTAATGGGTTAGTACTGCTTACACTTACTTCTTCAAATTACCTCAACAGAAACATGGCAGGCAATACTGCTGCCAAATGTGTGATATTAATACGTGAATTTGACATGAGAAAAGTATACTAGCCTCACTGTTTAGGACCACAGTTTGTGTAGGAGCCCCAAAAATCCATAGTTTGAGTCAGTGGCAGTAATAGAATTTTGGATTTATCCTTTTAAAAAAATTGTAAAACCCCATTACCAGATAGGAACGATAAGGAAAAAAAATTACAAAAAAGGAACTTTTCTTCCAAAAGGACTTAAATTTATTAAGTAATTTCTAAGCTTAAAATGCATGCTTCTTAATTCATATGTATTCAAAAACCACTAGACAGTTGTATATTCATACTCTTCCAAAATGTCTTTGTATGATGCACAGACTAATTCAGGGTTGTCACAACCCAAAGCTGTGATTTTTGTTTTTGTGTGCGCTTTGGCACCACTGAATTATGTTCCCGCTAAATTGCAGCTTCTTTGCACGGTGGAGTTTTCTGCTGTAAAGGAGAACCCCGGTGCAAGGGAGAATTTCCCGCCAATTTGTAGCTTTCTTTGCATGGTGCATTTCTTTTTGCATCTAAGAAATGCTCGGTGCAAAGAGTTCCCGCCATTTGTATTTTAATTCGAGCCCCATTATTGGCTTGTGTTAAATTATGCACACGTGGCGGCTAGTGATTGGCTTGCTAGCCGTATAAGAGGCTTGGGTGGTTTCTGCCCAAGTTGGAGAACTCCAAGGAGAACCCCGCAAGGGAGGACTCCACGAACACCAGGAGGAGGAGACTTCACGTCTCGTGAAGATCTCTAAGCGCTGCGGAGCCTATTGGACCCAGCGCACTTAAAGCAGGCAACAGGGGTCTGCCACTCCAGGGGCCAAACGGCCTCTAGCCTCTCCCCGTCACTGAGCGCGATCCTAGACATATCCCTTTCCTTTGAAACTACTGAGCCGAACCCGCGGAGCTTCAACAACTCCAGGGTCAATTGTCGGAGTCCTCTAGCGAGGACTTAAGCGGAGCTGAGCCTGGGAAACTGTCCAGCCTACACCACGACCATCTTTGGTGTAAGTAAACAATCTTTTAATCAACCATTACACGTCTGTAACTAATTCTAACTCGCCACCGGTTTTCTTCGACCCCTCGTGCCCGGGCTGCTGGCCACAGCCCGCGTGCACAGAAACGGGTTCGTATACCGCTCCTAGCCCGCACATGGCCGCATGGATGGGATCGGGAGGCGGCCCGCACAAGGGGAAGGAGAATTATTTTTTTCAGTTGTTGCTCTACACACAGTGAGAGAAACAGAATATAAAGGAAAAATGTTGGAAGCTACTTTTATAGAGAAGATTTGTTATTTTTTCTTTAATTAAAAAAAAAAATCAAGCTTTGAATTCCTGATGCCAGGTGCTCAGACTAAATCAGCAGCATTGTAAAAAATAATATAATTATTTAAAGCAGCCAAAATGGATCATTTTTAGTAAATCTGATTTAAATTAGGTAGGACAACAGTATTTCAGATTTCAAGCAAACTAATCTTAGATCCCAGATGCAAGAAGCATCGGTGGCATTTAATATAGTAAAAGAAAATGAATATTTTTTTATCAACATAGAAGAGAAGAATATCACACATTATATCATATGCATAATACAGCATTGAGGTCAGATTGCTTAATTTAGTCTGAAATTAAGTTATGAATTAATAGATTTCTTTAAAAGTTTCTATAACAACAGAAAACATTTTCCTAAACTTTCTAAATGCTTGCCCTTTGTTATTTCCACTGTGTTAATGAAAGTTTGATAATTAAAATTAGGACTGTACGTGCCATTAATTTTCCATTAAAACAGAGTACATAAAGATAATGAGGAGGATAGCTCTTGAATGCTAGAAAAATGTTCTCTAAGATGCTCCCTACTGTTCCATCTTTGCAAGTGACTTTCTATCTTGGGCCATGGCCTCACAAAATATTTAAGCACTCAAATCATCCCACTTACTTCAGTGTAAATACCTAATACACATCTTAGTAAACACATGCATAAGTGATTTACTGGACAGAAAACAGGGAGCACTTTGTAACCATTGTTATAAATAAATAAAGCTTCAATAAATAAGTAAAACAAAGCTAGATTCAACTTGCACAAATATATCAGCCTCTCATTGTTCTTAACTCATGATTTTTTCACAAGTCTTGTGAAGTTTGGTGGTTTCTGAAAACCCTGGATGTTGGAGTCAAGTGAAGAGACGAGAAGTTTAGCTTTCATTTTTTTAAATAATAAAGCATGTTTTTATCTGTTGTGGTTGTGGTGGATGCTTAAAAATGTGACTGAAGCCTCTGAAGCTAATTGGCAAATAAAAAGACTTGCCCCACACTTCTCTTTGTTGTTTTTAATTCTATGATTAGTGAATGATTGGGGTTAGTAATCCCCAATTATTCTTATAATTCTTTATAGATTATTATTCTTTATAAGATTATTAAAGAATTATTCTTTCTTTAAAATATACTTTTCTTTCCATGTTCTTGGTACAGAAGATTGTATAGCTCAGGTGTGAAGATACTGTGCCTTATGCAAAGTAATTAATTATTTACAACAAAAATTTAATAGGCTAGTGTTCTTTGCATCTCTGATACCACAGTGATCAACTGAGCAAAAGAGCATAAGCTGAATAGAAATAGAATGGAGGGCACAGGGAGGGTGAGGAAGAAGACAGATCAGAAGACCACCTTTTGAAATAATTAATTCACAAAATCTCAGCTGTAGAAATAGTACAAATCACTACAAGATCTAAGAATATTAAAATTTTAAAACTATGTTGGATTCCTTTATGTAATTTCAGATTGCATCTAAGAGCAGACTCTCACGGAAAATGGTTCTTTCACCGATAGTTAATTCACACATTTTAAAACTATTTATTCTCTGTCTTGGCATAAACTGATTCCGCACTTTTTTTTGGTCCCGATTATATGTGTTCAAATGGCAACAGGATTGAAGTAAATGTTCAGCCTTGCTATTTTCCTGTCTGGACCCAAAGATATTCAGTATCTATACTACTGTAGGCTGTGAGCACTCAAATGTGAATCAATTACTTTTAAGAAAATTATTTCAGGTTACTTTTGTGGAGTTCTACATGAAGAGCAATCCAATGAATCAAAACAGGATTAGGCATCAGCAAAATAGTTTTAAAATGTCCTTTCTCTAACAAGAGGTGGTATGGATATCAACCACTTGTATTTGTCTAATCTGAGCTATATTTTTTTGTGATTGAACCTCAAGCAAGAGCTTTGAGGCTACTTACCCACTCTTCTTCATCATATTCTGAGTGGTGAGGTATAGAGTCCTGCCTTTTGATCTGAGATGGATGGTCCTGATGCTGTGAATCACCACCCTCTTCCACGCTGTTCCTGGGCACAGTTGGTTTCTTTAGGACACAACCTGGACGGGCTGTGTACAGTGCTAAAAGGGCACTTCTGATCAGCTGATCTTTGAATGCATGCACAAATAACTCTGTCTAGAGAGAAATAATGGAAAGTTAGCATTAACCACAAAGTATAATAGTTTAATTATCTTTGTTAAAATAGTTTAGTATAGTTTAAGTATTTAATATTTTACAACAATATAAGTAAAACAAATATTTGCTGATGCAGAAGGCAAGAATTTTTGTGGGTGATATTTTTGCTGGATCAACTGCATAGCTGGGACAGACAAATAGTAGCCAACCTTTTTGGCAAACATGCCCTAACCCTTCCCAAGTACTTCTCTGATCCCTGCCGCTAGAGGTATACCAAATAGAGTCTGCACCCTAGGGCAATGGTGTCATGCTTGTGGCATGTGTGCTATGGCTTGGCTACCCATGGGATAGCCTTAGACAAGCTTTTGCATGTCTCACATGTTTCCTGGATCATCACAGCTATAACAGCAATCCAGGAAAATCTCTTGAAAAAGTGACTCAAGCGTGAGTGATAAAGTAACACAGCTTTGAAAACTGCAAACTGTTCCATTCATCTGAACAGAGTGTCTACTAGGACAACCCACTGCTCTAGGACTTGTTGCCAACACCATCTCAGCAGAGGCTTCTGTGAGTGACAGGAAGAGAAGCATACCCGATACTGGCCCTATTTACCCAAGCTGTCATACTTGAATAAGTTCCTTGCATACGTATTAGGCAACCACAATGTTGCTGCTTTACCTGTTCAAAGCAGTGTGTGCTCTTGTAGTCCTGAGAAAGAGCCCCTGCTGCCAAGGGGAAAAATAAACTACAAAGAACTTGAACTGACTGGCAGGGAAGCAGACCTTTTCCCCTCATATAACTCCAAATGCAGGGCAAGACCATAATGCAGATGTGAAGCCAACTCATGTTGTGCCCTAGAGCATGGCAAACTAGGACATGTAGGATGTGCTGTGTTTGAACAAAGGTCCCACATATGAGATTGGAGACATATTGGACCCCTTGCAAACTGTGCAGAAGAAAAACAGCAGAAGAATCTTAGATATTCTCTTTCCAAAACTGACCTCTAATATTTTTAAAACAGGAAAAATCACTGGCCCAAGATAACTGTATTGTAAACAAAATTAATGAGCAAAGTCAGACCCTACCATTGTTTCCTAATCAGACACTAATAACATCCCTACAGAGAATAGTGGTGCAGTGGAAGTTAAATTTGTCCATGGTAAGCTCCTCCTTCCCACACACTGCCGTTCGTTTTGTATTGCTATAAATTGTCAAACGCTCACTTTTCAAAGCCATCCTCAGGTCAAAATCAGGTACCTGTCCCAGACGATTAAAGACCTGTTAGCTAAAAGAAGAGTACATCCAGTATATAGTAAGGTCATTAAATGTTCCATTTCTTCACTTCACTGCTATGGGGTATCATGACAGCATATCTAAAAGTGGCATCACTATAAGTCGCTTGGATGGTGTTCTTTCTTGGATTTAAAGAGTGATATGTACATCTTATATGAAATGGCTCTAGGGAAGCTAATAAAGTAGCATTGTACCTGCTCCACTCTTTCTCTGTGAGCTTCCACATAAAAGGCTGCTGTGTCTTCAATTCTCAAAAACCACTAAACTATAAAAAGACTGAGTGTAGCTTATCCCCTGATATGACAGCATGCAGGATGCTCTATGGAGTTAGATTTCACTGAGCACAGCAAATGCACATGCTCTGTGCACCTCCCGATTCCTAACCTATACTTAAGTGTAACTGAACTTCAACTGATTCTTAATCCTGTGCCCCTAGGATCTGCTCCCTATCAGTTTCCATTAGCTTAGGGTTGTATCACTTTGTTCTACTTCATAATAATTCAACCATCCTCTAGCAACTATCCTCTGTATTTCCTTAGAAAGGGTCTATCAGTGAAGTACAATTCCAGTTCCATGTAGGCAAGTATCAAATAAATCTGTGAATTTATTTAAAAGAATGTCAGGCCTCTTAAAATGTGATACAACACAAGTGTGGTGATTTGGCAGACCATTTAGTATAAAAGATTTAATATGGAGTTACAGACTTACATGAAGCACCACTACTGCACTGGTACACTTCTCAGGAAATATTTATGTCCAAGGCCTCTGGAAGATGTGCAATTTAAGGTACGATAGGATCTGATGCAAGATTCCCACAATTGTGCTTCCTGCTATGCCACACGTGCATGGTAGGAGGTGCGATGGTGAGATCAAGCATCGGATCACATTATGCCATATTGCTGATGTAGGGCTCCTGCTGCTCAGAGCCCCATCAGCACCACGCCCCCCACAACTTAGAGCCCTCAGCTGGTCCAGGCTTCCAGCACAGGGAATCACCATCTGTCCTGTGGCTGGGAGCCTGAATCAACAGATAGTCCTCCCAGGCACAGGACTGCAGGGGAACCCTTGACTCCAGCTGGAGGCAGGAGACCCAATCTCGCACAGCTCCCACTGGAGGTGGTGTATTGGAATCAAGGGTTTCGATATGTCCCTGATTGCAGCTTTCAGGCTCAAGGCACATAGGAGCCCTGGACTCTGATGGGTCCCTAAGGCTGGAACCAGATATTAGTCTGGCCACATGTTCAATTAATAGCACGAAAGGAACTAGCCATAGGGTGATTGCACGTATTTTGCATAATAACTTTGTGGTTCATTCCTTGCTTTATCACACCTTATTCCTTGCTGTATCACACCTTTATTTTGTGCTAGCTTTATTCCTTGCTTTATCACACCTTTAATTGCATTAATGGGTGGCTGGGTAAATATTTAAAATATGATTAACTGGTTAATCATTTCATAAATGTAATGTATGCCAGGTGTCTAAAATTATCAAATGTTTAAATGGAAACAAAGTGCTCCCTCTACTATAAGAAGGGTAAGGACTTCTGTTATATCAGAAGAATTTCTTCAGTACAGTAGAGGCATAACTCTAGTGACACAGATGGAGTTACAGCAGAAGTAAATTTCGCCTGTAACATCAACATTTCTTTATCTGAATGAACTGAGGGATGAGAAAGTAATTTCGTAATCCAGGTTCTGAACAGACAAAGGACTTTTCAATGCAGTAGATACATGCCAGGGATTAGGACATAGATTACTATAAAAACATTTTTCAGATAATCAATATTTGGATAAATGATGCTTGACTAAACTTCAAGCATCATTTATCCTTGGTAAATGATAAAGTAACCTTGGTGTGATAAAAAATGTCCAGATTATCCCAGATAATCATAGATGATGATGACCCCTTATTGTACATTAATCATTTTGTATTGTTTAGGTATAAAGTTTAAGATACTATGTCCTTGATATGTTTTAGACACTCCTGGCTAGTTAAACACCTCTGGCAGAAAAATGTCAACTCAGGACTTCAGTGCTCAATGTCAGGCTAAGGAGGAGAATATACTTTAAGGGTATCTGCCCTGTGTCCTTCTGCTCCTTGGTACTCCATCACGGTTCTCTTTGCCTCCTTTTTCCCTCTAGTACTATTTACTGTCCAAACATGCTGTCCTATCTGCTCTTCTGCATCCTCTGTTCTCTATCACCTCCATCTCATCTCCTTATCCTACTCCTTGAACCCTATGTCCCAACCTCTCTGCTCCAATCCACCCCTATCACTTGGCTTTTGCCTTTTTCTCCCTGTTTCTAGAGAATCCTTTTTCCCTAAACTTGCTCCTGTCCCCTCTATTCCTGTTCATCTCATGAAGTCCCTCTTCCCCTGGGTCCCTCTTCTTACCATGTGTGGCCAGAACTCATGAGACCCTCAATATTTGATTTCCTTAAATTATCCACAGATAGTACAAAGCACCTCAACCTTTTCATTTTTAGAAAAAAGTAACCTTTTTTCCTGTCACACTATTCTGACCCCTGGCCTATACTACACATTTAAGTTAACTGTCTGGAAATCCTAGAGAGCTTAATTTCACATGTGAATATTTTTAATGGGAAAAAAGTCTTGATAAAAAAAAACTGGCATGGAAATGAAATGATTCCATTTTCTTTCATATGGAGGCTGAACTGCTTCTGTAATTAAATTCTGTTCGAGGATTTCATTGGATTAACTAAATAAATGCTACTCAGAGAACTTTCTCTTATGTAAAGCTAAATTCAGAGAACACAGCTATTTATAAATTTGTACTAATCTCTGCCATGCCAGTATGCCTGAAGAAATGCAAACCTTGCAAATTCTTTTAGATACCTGACTAATGAATAATTTTTGCAAATAAAAATAGGCATAGCTGGAAAAATGTATTCATCAAGACCACTGCAAGCTGCAAATACTGATAAGTGTATAGACACTAAAGAGTTTTTTTAATTAACAGAAAGTGTTAGATAAAAAGGGTAGGCCCAAGAAAACAAAAAGCACCACTGCAGTGACCTTTTCCCTTTAACATTCACTTCAGATTCACCCAGTAAAGTCCAGGCCTAAAAAAAAGATTTACTTGCCTCTATTGCAATATTTCTCTCCATTTTGTTTTCCTTTTTCTCTTTCTCAGATTCACTAACTGCCAACTAAAATCTTTAGAAAGAGGCATTCTGACTTATCTCAAGGGTAAATGTGGACACGGTCATTAAAGGCTGTCGTCCCAGCCAAAAATACAAAGTGCTGAAATGGTTTGCTGGTAAAAGGGGTTATGACACCACTAAGGCACAGCTGTCAGGCTGGTAAACAAGGAGCACTTGTGTCAACCTTACCCACCCCAGGTTATTTTGTGTTTCACACACTTTTCTAGGAACGATGCTAGTAGAAACAATGCCTTCGTACATATATGAGAAGAACAGAGGCACATGCATTTTCGTGCAGCAAAAGACAAGCGCAGGTATATTTTGGTAGGTCTTCTGGTATTTCAGCTGTTAGGCATCTTAATTTTGCCTTTCAGAAACCTCACACAGGTGTGTGTCAGAATCAGAATGGCGCCGGCTAGCATTTTGCAATGTTCTTCATGAATCTTTGCTAATTCATATCAAACACCCTCTTAGTCCCTAGTCCCTCCCACTGCTAGGATACTGAAATCATGCTTGGGGTTACAGCATTCACTTTTCACTTCTGGAAACTGGTGTTTATATGCTAACTAGTAATTACATGTTATTCATTAGGACACATAGGGCATGTCCAGATGAGTGCCTACATGCGCTTTGAGGTGCCTGTAAAACATATGTGACCCATGTGAAGAGGTTCTCTGAGCTGCATGCAATGTAGAGCCAAAATTGGATACCAGGCAATTCCAGTATCTAAAAAAATGGCTTTAAAAAAAGGTGGGGCAGTGTACGTATTTATTTCTAAAATATCTGGGCTGTCTTTCCTGAGGTTGATTTCTGACCAACTTCTTGTAAGAGGCTGACTTTCAAGTGAAAAGGTTTTTTTCCATACAACCAACCTCTGCCTCTCATAAAAGTGATTCTCTTTTCCACTCAGGTAGAAAAGAATTACAGAATGTAATGGGAAGAGCAAAAACCCTGATTAGGGCTCAAACTATTGCTCTTAAGGTGCAGGGTGTTGAACACTGCCCCACAGAGCTGCTTTCATAATTTATCTCTGAACAACGTTCCTGCATCTCACTTGAATAATTTCATATCACAGCAGTTTTACATTTACTATGAGGACATAAACATGACTTCCTCCAGATTCTCTTTAATACTACTGTTGAACAACCAGCAGTAATCGCAACAGAGCAAAATGAGGCAAAATTCTGCTATCATGCATACTGCTAAAAGTTGCAGTAATTCTATTGTTCACAGTATATTTACATAACTGTAAGTGAGAGTAACATTGTGCCCCCCCAGTGTTTGAAAGAAATGCTTCCACAGTATGAAGCAGAGCTCAATATTCAGATCCAAATCTCCCACTTTGAAGGATGTACTGTTAGTGCAGAGTTGCTCAACAGATCAGTGTTGGAGATGTATTTAAATGATTATTGATTTAAATGATTATTGGTAATGTCATTTAAATCACAGAAAGAAAACGTTACAGTGGATGTGGCTTATTAAGCACAAGGAACCTTTTTTAACTTCTGGGCTCAGTACAGTCATAAAGTCCAAGGCTGAATCTTCAATCTTCACAAGTTAGTCTAAATTGAGTAGATTCAACTGATAAACAAGTAAACAGGCATTTTTTATTCCAGAAATGCAGCGACATGCCTGCAGTGGCCCAGGTCAGAAGCTGGGGGATGCTAGAGCATGCCTCCCTCCTTGGCTGGAGCAGACAGCTTGCAGCAAAGCTAGCCCACCCACTCTGGGGGAATGTGGAGGGGATCTGGGAGAGAAGTTCAATAAACCGAGTTAACCTAAATCAGTTAAGGCTGATACTACTTCCATCCAGATTTATCTTAAACTGGTTTTGGCCATTTTGAAAGTAATTTATGTAAACTGAACTTCTGTTGTATTACAGATTTGAACCGGTTTCTGATTGTGTAATTTCTGCCCCTAGCCTTATGGTCATGGTGTGACATATGCTCAAAGTTCTTTACAGATTTTAACTAAATAATCCCTACAGTGAGACAGACAGGAAAGATTATTGTTCTGAGTTTAGAGCTTGGGAAATTGAGGCAGGAAAGAGAAGGATTTGCCCAAGGCCCCCAAAGCCAGTGAGTGTCAGAGGCAAGTTAGAACTGACAGGCTACTAAAACTCCTGCGCTTATTCCTTCAGATACACCACCTGCATTGTGTGTGGGCTCATACTATTATTTCAGACTTAAAAGAGGCCTGAACTACCCACTGCAAGTGGAAGGCAGTCAGTAGACAAAAGTAATGGGAAGAAAGGTAAATAAAATAACATCCCTCAAAATTCATGTTAGTTATCTTTGATAACCTCTCACTGTGTGGCCACTAGAGGAAAATAACGACATGTAAATAAAATTAATACTTTTACATAAAGCCAAACCTTACTCTATAAGCTGCATTATTTCCTACATGCAAGGTTAAATAAATGCTTGGTAATAATTCAAGAGGAAATGCTCAATCATTGTTCATAAAGACTGTTGCATTCTTTTTCCTATGGCAACATTTTGAAGCTTATTTTGAAGCTTATTCTGCAATTTATGCAGAAAAAGACAGCAGTTAGGGATTTGGTTGTTCCATTTTCCATTGCAGTGAAGATTTGAATCTTACTTTTTCAGAAAGCATCTTTAAAGAATTCTTCAAGCTGTCTGGAGAATGCTGGCTTGCAGAATTAAGCAGCAGGTCTGCATGGCTTGATATGAGAGGTTGTAGATGATTGATGTTGCTGAGAACTTCTTTTGCCTTGGCTGTGTTTTCAGGCGAGTAATAAATACACTGGTACCCAGTGCTGTAACAAGAAATGCAAAGGAAGTTATATAATAGTCAAAATTCTTTCCACTATTTAGTAGCCAGGTTGGCTAACTGTTCACAGTATTTTAACACTCTTACCGTGTATACTGGAAGAAAGAAAGGCATTCTAAGCTTTACAATACATCTGTACTGAAGTCTGTCATCCCAATAGGCTAAAAAGCAGTCCTGGCTGAAATGCTAAAGGACAGTGGGCTGTCCATCGATGAACACTCCAGACAGTGCTATTCAAACTAATTATCCCCCTGGTGCTCTGAATGATTCATTATGACAAGAGGGAAAAAAAGGAAAACCCTTCAATTTTTATTTAATAATTCTGCAGAAAAGAAAGGTTTATAATGCCATTAATGACTCATTCAGAAATCCACACGGGTCAGGTAATGACCAGAAAGAGCCACTTAGGTTTCCATCTTAACTTCCCTATCCAGTTATTACCTATTTGGTGAAGTCCTCCAAAATGGGTCATTAGTGCTTAATTGATTAATGGCTCATAATATGTTTTGATCGGCATCACTGATCCTTACCCAGTAGTAAGGACAGGAATTATTTCCAACGGTAAGGTCACACATCTAATTTTGCAAAATAAGTGACGACAAAGGTGAAGGAAGAAAAGAATACAGAAGAGAGAGGAAATTAATTATACAGTGCCTTATCACAAAATTATTATTTTCCATTTTTTCATTGCCCACAAACAATGTTGTTGATTTTTTTTTTTTATATTTTCTCTTATCTTTTTGAAAATGTATTCCTCATTTGTTTTCTCGCTATTACCAGCCACACAATACTCTCTTCATACCTTTATCTCCCACTCCTCATCTATTTATACATTTAATAGCTCTGTGCACTATTAGGAAGACCCCTACACTCTGGGGACCTGGCCTGGCCTGGTCCCCCAAAGACCCCAGCTAGCTAAATGTAGTGGGGCCAACATGGCTTGAGGGTTTCCTTTTCCCCTGCCCCAGTCTCCTGACAATGGCAGCCAGCAGCTGCAGGAGAGGCAGCCCAGCCCGGCATGTCCCCATACCAGCAACTAGGACTGGGGGCCTCAGGGACCAAGCCCAGGTCCCTCAGAGACTCCAGCTGTGTGGGGTCCTTGTGGCAGGAGAGTCCGTTTCCCCCCCCTCTTTCTGTAGCTGCTTCCAAGAGTTGCCAGCTGGCAATCCTAGGGTTCCACCAGATTTTAGCTTAACCTCACTGTCTTCTCCATAGGGGTATCAAACTTTATAAGCAGTATTTCTAAACCTAGAGAATGCCAGGATGGGGAAGATGAGATGAGCTTTGGTAGAGGGTAGTTCTGGTCTGCTGTTGCTGAATACTGTAAACATTAGTTAAACCATTATGCCATCTGTTGGGACCCAGAAGCCTTCAGGCCTAGATCTGACCTTTGTGCTCAGCCCAAGCTGCATGCTTATCTTGAACTGTGGTTGAGACATGCGCTCTGTGAATGGAACAGATGGAAAAATACTGTCCCTGACTTAAAACAAATCAGGAAGTTAGCTAACTAAATTGAATAAATATAACCTGGGCAAAAGAGGAACAGTCAGAGCAAAATCTACCCCCACCTACGAATGAAAAGATTTATCTCAGGATAGAAAATTCCAGTTAAAGGAAACCATGTTTGGCAAACAGAAGCAAAATTATTAATATGCATTAGGAGGAAGGCTTAAATTAATTTTATGTATTAAGACATGCAAGCTATATGGTATATAAAGAGAGGTGAGAGAGTGTATCCTTCAGAACGCTACTGAAGAAAGCCTGAAGAGATCCTGTCAGCGATCCAAGATCCTGTCTCAACGTCAGACATAGAAGCCAGGAGCCCTGGACAAGACTTCATGGCCTGATGGTGAACCAGTGAAGTTGCAGTCATAACATTACGGGGTGGTGAACATCTGCTTTGACTAGCTACAAACCTCAAATTTTTAACTGCTAATGCTGCTTCAGTTTGAATTAGAATTGTATCTGTTAGGGTTCAATAAACTTGCTTTTAGTTTAGGGCAACCGTGTCTTAGTCTCCTTGCCTGGTATAAGACTCATTATAGCGACATAGGGACGCAACACATTCATTTCCCAAGTGGCTTCTGAAATGTTATCAGTAACAAATCACTACCGTATTCTTTCTTCCTCCTATCCATGCCTCCTTTCTTCATTTTGTAGTCTCTCCATCTCTTTCACACCTCTTCTTTTACATCTTTATTTCTGCCCTACATTTGATTTTTCCACCCTTTCATTTCTGTTCTCACCTGTTCCTCTTCTCTGTTTCTTCAGTTACTGTACCTCCAGTTGCCCCTCTCTATTCACTGTGCACCCGACTTACCATTTGCCATCAGTTTTCTCTCTCTATCAGTCTGGTTAATCAAAGCAAGGCAAGGAGAACTAACTATGCTTAAGCCCTTTGTTAAATATGCATTTTTTAAACTAGCCATGGGTATCTGGCTGACTATTTTCTTAAAATCCTACCTAAAATCCTGTTCTTGACTTTCATCCTTTCATTACTCCTTCTCATTTTGAATGATGTATTTACCGCAGAGTTAACCTGAGTGATGAGCACCTGGGTTAGTCTAGCCTACTGGAGAATTACCATACTGTACTCAAATTATGGTGTTCTTTACTGGGACCACACTTGTCCAGATGTGGCACTGTAGGAGCTTGTCTCATGGTTTTCTGTGCTGCACCAAGCGGTGCTGCCTTAGGATTCTTTTCCAGTGAACAGTGGGAGAAACTAACTGTCCTTCTGGTCACAAGGAAGGAACTGTCAGAAGGCACTGCATGACTATCAGCTTGAGTGACTGTCTTCACTGCAAAGCAGATAGGTAAAAAGAATATTTGAGCATAAATCTGTACCTCTCCACTTCCCACCCTTCCTAAGCCAGCTACTCTCAGTTAAAAGCACTATCTAACTTAACACAGAGGTTTTGTGTGTGCATGCAAATAGGCCTAGGGACTCGAGTATCTATGAAACTTAACTCTCCAATTAAAATACACCCTCCAAATCCTTGATGCTTTCCATTCCCCATGCTTCCTTTTCCTTACGGGACCCAGGATAGTAAAAAGGAGGGCAGTGCACATGCAGTGAGCTCACTTCACATGCATCTGGCAACTGGGATCAGTTCTTGCTGAACTGGCAGCAAAACAGGGCACCACCACACCACCCACTGGATCTGCTTGTTCCTTTTCTTAGTTTTCCACTCCTTTTCATCCTTTAGCCTCCTTTTCTCATACGTTTGGCTGCCTAACATTTTACATTCTCTCTCTCAACATCCTTAATCCCAGTGGCATAATTAAGGGTGGGGGTGGAAATGGGGTTAGCACCGAAGGCACCAGCTTGGAGTGGGGCGCATGGGTGCAAAAGCAATGGCTGCCACAGCTGCCAGGTGGTTTATGCCACTACTGGTAACCAAGATCTGCTATTGCCCAGGACAGAGCTACCCGGTTACACCTCTGCTTAGTGCTTACCCCTTTGAATCCCAAACATCCCTGACTCTTCTTCATGGTAAATACTGTAGCAAAGATATTATACTGGATGCCATTAAATAAGAAGATACTACACACAGTTATAAAATTTTCTGAGACATGGGAGGTGTTTTTCTTCCTAGATGCAGAAAATTATGTATTTTTAAATAAATGTAAATTATGGAGAGTTTGAAAGTCTCTGACATCATAGCTCTCCATTACCTGATTGATTCTGCCATGCCTTGGGGCTCACAATATACCAAACCACTCAAAACCTTCAGGGAGTTCAGTTTTAAGATCAATGCTCAGTGACAACAACAATTTTTGGTAAAACTTTAAGAAAACTGGGGAATTAATACGTAGGCAGAAACAATTAAAATGATCTATTCTATGGATTTTTAAAGTTTCCATTGATTTTTCTGTCCCAACACTGAAGGAAAGGACTTAAAAAAAATTTTATGCTCCCATACTTGATTAAAAGGTTTCTTGTCCTCCGGATTAACCAAAAAAATAGTTTCTTTAACTAAATTCTGTGCAACATGCTTTGCAGAACTCAGTTTTTATACACAAAAAAATGTTGTATTTCAATATTATTGAAAATGTATACAGGAGGCTCTGACAATAACACTGATGTGAAAAACTGTTCCTGTGACAGGCACATCAATAAAAAGCTGAATGAAGGAAGTTACACTGAAAACAAGCTTGTGTACTGAGGCAAATGAAATGTGGTAACGCTAGGGTTACCATACGTCTGGGTTTTCCTGTACATGTCCTCGTTTTTGGCCCCCTACCCTCAGGTCCGGGCGGGTTTTTTAAATTAAAGCAAAGGTCTAGGTTTTTGCTTTGCCTCTGCTTTTCTCAGGCACAAGCAGCCTGGATGCATGCAGGGGCCTGGCAAGTAAGTGTGTATGTGTGTGTGTGCGTGTACACGCGTGCGTGCTTGTGCGTGCATGTGTGTACACATGCACACAGCAGGGCTGTGGGGGGGCTGCAGGTTTGGATTGGGGACACCAGCAGTTCTGCAGGGGGGAAGGGGGGCAAGGCTGTGGGTTGGGGGCTGCGATTCAAGAGTGAGGAGCACTGGCAGGGCTGAGGCAGCAGGGGCTTAGGAGTGAGGGGCTGAGGCAGGGCACAGGCACATCACTGCCCCCTCCCCACAGTCATATAACCCTCTCCCCCTCTTCCCCCTCCACCGGCTCCCAGCCCCCTCCCTGCCACAGGTGTCCTCTTTTTTGATCCTGGAAATATGGTAACCCTAGGTAACACTACCAGTGAATTCAGTAAGCACAGAAAAAAATATACACTTGATATGCTAAGTATATAATTAGACATGTATATGTTGAAAGAATTATACTTACGTCCTCTGGGTTAGAGTAAAAATTTTCACTGGAGTGTACAAAGCAAATTTTCAACATCGTTACTACCAATAGGCAACTATATTCGCATTATCTTAAGGGGTCATTTCATTCTTCAGATTACAGTAATGGCTTTTTCATGTTATTTGAAAAAAGTATATACATTACTTCAGGA